TAGAGTGGTTCACTATTTATACTCTGGGATCAGACCTAGGTTTGAATCTTTTTTTAAAATTGAGATACAGTTCACATATCACAATATTCACCATTTTAAAGTATACAATTCAATGGTTTTTAGTATATTCACAAAGTTATGCAACCATCCTCACTAATTCCTGAACATTTTCATCATTTCAAAAAGAGACCCCATTCCCATTGGTAATCACTTCCTAATCTTTCCTCCTCCCAGCCCTTGGCAACCACTAATATGCTTTCTGTTCTTACGGATTTGCCTATTTTGGGCATTTCACATAAAGAGACTCATATACTTTTTGGCCTTTTGTGGCAGGCTTCTTTCACTTTGCCTAATGTTTTCAAGGTTTATCCATATTGTAGAATGTGTTAGTGCTTCATCCCTTTTTCTTGATGAATAGTATTCCATTGTATGGAATACCATATTCATTTATCCCATTCATTAGTTGATGGACATTTGGATTGTTTCCACCATTTGGCTCTTTTGAATAATGCTGCTGTGAACATTTGTGTACCGCTGTTTGAGTGAGCACCTCTTCAATTCTTCTAGATCATATGGTATCTCTGCATTTAACCATTTGAGGAACTGTGTCAAACTATTTCCCAGAAATATTTTACATTCCCATTAGCAATGTATGAGGGTTCCAGTTTCTCCACAACCTGGCTGACATTTGCTATGTTTTAAAATTATAGTCATCCTAGTGGTTGTGAGTAGGTATTATAGCTGTCCTGATGGGTGCAAATTAGTATTATGGCCATTTTAGTGAATATGAAGTGGTATCTCAATGTGGCTTTGATTAGCATTTCCCTAATGGCTAATGATGTTGAGTATCTTTTCGTATGCTTACTGATAATTTATTTGTACATCTTCTTTGGAGAATTGTCTATCTAAATCGTTTGCCCATTAAAACTTTTTTTTGTCATTTTATGTTGAGTTGTAAGAGTTCTGTATATTTCTAGATACTAGACTCATATCACATATGTGACTTGCAAATGTTTTTTTCCCATTCCATGAGCTTTCTTTTCACTTATTTGATAGTGTTACTTGCAGCACAGAAGTTTAAAATTGTGATGAAGTACAATTCATCTATTTTTTTCCTTTGGTTGCTTGTGCATTTGTTGTCATCTAAGAAACCCTTGCCTAACCTAAGTTCACAAAGATTTACACCAATGTTTCCTACCAAGAGTTTTATAGTTTCTGCACTTAAATTTGTATTGTTGATCCCTATTGAGTTCATTTTTATGTATGGTGTGAGGTATGCCTCTAACTTCATCCTTTTGCATGTGGAAATCTAGTCACAGCATCATTTGTTGAAAAGCTTATCCTTTCCCCATTGATTGGTCTTGGAATCCTTGTCAAAAGCCAATTGACTGTAAATATATGAGTGTATGAGTTTATTTCTGGACTCTCAGCTTTATTCTGGGTTTGAATCTTGCCTTTATTCCTTGCAAACAAGTGGGACCCTGCACAAATTACTTTTTTTTTTTTTTTGGTGTACCTTTCTTTCAGAGGGTTGTTGTGAAAATTAAATGAGATAATGCATGTAAAGGGTATTATTTAGTGCCTGGCATATAGTAAATGCCCAATACATTTTAAGGGGAAAGGTGCTTAGATAATCAGGGAGGTAGGGAAAATGGGGGATAGATGAAAGGATACTGAAATATTAGGAGTGACCTGAACAAGTGGCCTCATAAATGAGAGATGAGATGAACAGATGTTTGAAGAAGTTGAAAAAATATTCAGTTCCCCCAAGTTGGCTAAAGCAGTTACTATGTTGATAAAATAGAATAGAAACAGTATAGGAAAATTACCATAAGCAACAGACTGTAACCATCTTATGTTATTCTTTATAGAGCTGAAATCAGTTAAGGTAGGTTATTTTAGAGCACTGGTGTTCGACTTTTTTTCTGTCAAGAACTCTTTTGAGCACATGTTGAATGCTATGGACAGCCCTCTACCCATGAAAATGCATGTATGACAAACATACAACATTCTTCAAACAGTTCTAAGAAGTTCAGAAATCCCTGATGAGAAGTCCCATTTTGACTTTATCCAAGGCAATGCAGACCACAGCATGCTTTCCCAAGCTTAATCTCATAGTGAGGTGGAGGTGTCACATTTACTTGGGAGCAGTTTTTAAGGTTTCAGGGAAATTTGAAGAGCTTTTCCTCTGTACAGTACAGAAGAATTTACACGGCAACCTGCTAAGAGTTAGAAGAGTGTTGGTACTCTATTTTTGCGTAGGCGCGAGCACATGGATGTCTTTCAACAATGCTCCTGACCAATTGTCATTTTGGTGGAAGGCCTTACTCTAGTCTCCCAGGTAGCTTCCAACACAGACACTGAGGAATGCAGACATGCAGTTCTGGAAGAGGTAGTAACAGAAATGCAGTGTGGCATGAAGATAGGTCTAGAAGAAAAAAGTATGATTCTGGAAGGGACTCAGAATGAGAGGCAGATTCGGAGAAACTGAGAGGGATTCAGAGAGACAAAAATAGAAGTGGAAGCCTGCTGTTTAGAAAAACCTCCTGTAAATAGTCAAGGTAAAATTCAGTGAAGGAGCGATGATTGAAATAAAGGTGTTGTGGAAAGAGCACAGGCATTGACATTAGACTGATCCACTGTTCTGGGTGTGTATGTTCCTGGTTGATTTACTCAACAACACTGAGCCTCAGTTTCCTAAGTGTAACATGGGTATAGGAGCAATGCCTTCCTCACAGCCTTTCAGAAAGAATTTAATGAAATAATGTGTGTAAAGTGTTTAACGTAGTACTCAGAATACAGATGCTTAATAAATACTAGGTCCCTTTTTCTAACTTCTACTTTAAGGGAATCCTTCATTTAACAATTATTGAATACCTAGTGTGTGTGAGTCATCATGCTATGAATAAAAATAAGAAATAGCTGATACCCTCAAGGAGGAGAGTTAGCTGGAGACACAAAATGTTCTGGAAGCCACCAGTGGCTGAGGTGATAAACAGGTAAATGAGAGAACTCCTAGGTTCCTAGTCTTGGGTGGTGATATTCACCAGATAGGGAAAACTGGAAGAGGAGCAGGTGTTTCATTTTTGAGGGAAGGGGAGAACAACAAGTTCATTTATGGACATGTTGAATTTGAGCAGAGGACCTGTATTTTGATATTTCAGAGGACCTATATTTTGACAGCTATATATTGATAAAGTAACATTATTGCTTATGTATTGATAAAGCAAGAATCCTTGAATTAAAGTTTGACTCAATCATCTCTAAAGTCCCTTCCAATTCTAAGATTTTATGATATATGTAAATTTTAATTGTTTTATTTTTGCATCTTGATAGGTGAATACTAATAGATATTATAAGCTACAAAATACTTGACAACAATTTTCAAGCACTTGCAAATTATAAAATAGGAATACCACACATCTCAGTTTATAAATAAATGATTATACAAACATCTGAGCTTACCAAACCAACTGAGAGTGACTTTTTACAAAAAGATTCTTCACTTTTACAACCTAATTTCCTATAGATTTCCATTAAATAGCTTAATTAGTTCAGTGCCCTTGAAAGGTTTGATTTAGAACCAGCTTTTAGGCATCTATCTTTTGTACTTACACACAAGGTATAATTGTACTCAGTATTTAAGCATCTGGTGAGAGGGTTATGCAGATATCATTGATAGATGGCAAAATCTGAACAAATATCAATGGCAGAACGAAATCTTCAAGTCCTGATCAAAGTCTCCATTGATAGTGAGATGATGAACAAAAGTTACTCAAAAGAAAAGATGTCTCTCTCTTTACTATAAGTAGGATTAACATTTTTCAGTCAGTAAGATAAATGTTATGTTTTTCCTTAGTTAGGGCTAGCTTAGGACACTTATGTGTGTTGATTTTAATTAATGGAATACCCATGGCAATAAGAATCTATATGATTAGCTCAGAAATGTCTGGGAAAAGAGAGAGATTGACTAAAGAGATTAGTTTCTTGTTCATTGAGTGACTACTTTTACTCTCTGATGCACATACTAAAATGAAGGTTACCAGATCTGACAATTTCTGGCTCTTCACCTCGCCAATTTATACCTCACTCTTGATTTGCATCTTGCTATGTTTCAGAAAGTATGAAAAGTCACATGGGAGGTGAGCTTCACAGTACGCTTGTGCTAGTTCAATGGCTGTTTAATAATAAAAGCAAGCTGAGGGCACAAGGTAGTTGTCCTCATTATCGATTAACAAGTATTGCCGAGTAAGTCGAAGAGTTGAAATCATTTCTCATTCAACTTGATGAGATGAAGAGTTTTCTGAAGGTGAGGCAAAGAAAGCTAAAGTGAAAACTATCATCTTTGTGTCTAGTAACTCAGTTTACTAGAAATGGGATGGAACAGAAATTTCCGTGTGTGGTAGTAGGAAGTAATTAAAGTTCACACTCTGAAGACCTTATTATCCTGCATCAAGAACTACATTTTTCTCAAACTCTTTTCTTTTTTACACAGGCTCTCAGAATGAAATCATTTCAAGACCTAGAGAGTTAGTTTGAAATATGGCCTTGTTTTCTTTCCACTAGATGTGCAATAGAAGCAGGCCCTGTATTTTACCTTGACGTTAAATAGAGAACAATATTGGAGAATGGAGATTGAGTATTTTGTAGGGCTTCAGGCTCATCATAGTCCAGGACAAGAGATGTCAGTGGAATATATGTGAGAGAATGATCTATGCCAGTGTTGTGAGATGGAATGGGAATGTTAATCATTACACCAGGATTCAGAAGTGGCCACTAGATTCTGTTTATTAGTGTAGGAAAATAAACTCAGGCATTTGTCAGAAAGAACATTTGAAGAGGGAGAGAGGCTTTTTGATTAATTCCCAGATTGCTTTCCTATTTCTCCAGCGTCCCTGGGGAATCCAGCATGGAAAGCCTCCATTGGTTCATGTCTAATTATGCTGCATCCACTTTTCCTTTGGAACTGCTTCATGACTTTTGTTTTGTATTCCTTGCAGGTGAGAGCTCAGCCTCTGTGGTTCTTAATGCCTCAGCAGGATTATTTTCACTAAAGATGGAAACACTGGAGTCTGAATTGACCTGCCCAATCTGTCTAGAATTGTTTGAAGACCCCCTTCTGCTCCCTTGTGCTCATAGCCTCTGCTTCAGCTGTGCCCATCGCATCTTGGTCTCAAGCTGCAGTTCTGGTGAATCCATTGAACCCATTACTGCTTTCCAGTGTCCTACGTGCAGGTATGTTATCTCACTGAACCACCGGGGCCTGGATGGCCTTAAGAGAAATGTGACTCTGCAGAACATTATTGACCGTTTCCAGAAGGCTTCAGTCAGTGGACCCAATTCCCCAAGTGAGAGCCGCCGGGAGAGGACGTACAGGCCCAGCACTGCCATGTCTAGTGAGCGAATTGCTTGCCAATTCTGTGAGCAGGACCCGCCAAGGGATGCAGTGAAAACATGCATCACCTGTGAGGTCTCCTACTGTGACCGTTGCCTGCGGGCCACACACCCCAACAAGAAACCTTTCACCAGCCACCGCCTGGTGGAACCAGTGCCAGACACACATCTTCGAGGGATCACTTGCTTGGACCATGAGAATGAGAAAGTGAACATGTATTGTGTATCCGATGACCAATTGATCTGTGCCTTATGCAAACTGGTGGGGCGTCACCGAGACCATCAGGTTGCATCCCTGAATGATCGGTTTGAGAAACTCAAGGTAAGAGATCTGGGGAATATCCCTTACACAACTTTGTCTCTTTACACACAGTTATGCAGTATCAAGTTCCCTAATTAAATGATCTGCTTTTCCTGTATGACAAGTGCATTAACTCCAAGTTGTTCTTGTGAGGAATAACCTACTCACCTACAAGCTCTCACTGGAATCTATTTCACCTGTTGCATAAACCTGCTTGCATTCACTCACCTCTGGCCCATTCTAGGGGAGTTAGCCCCCAGCCCACCATACCAGTAATCTGTCCAGGGAAACGGCACCCTCCCTTCTCTGTGAGTGACATACTGCACACTACATACCTTTGCCATGATCTTTCCACCTCTTCTTTTAAGTATGTGAGTACCTGTGTAGGTGTACTACAATTAGCATATGTGCTGATTTGTTTATGTATGCGTATAGCAATGGGAAGGTTGGGTATGTCTCTGTGAAAGTGTGGGTGGAGGTGTCTGAGTATATCTATGTAGGAGAGAGATTTCTGTGGCGGCCAGTAGTGTATGTGTTTGCATATTCAGTACACTAAAGAAACAAAGGTTTGGCCTTGGCCCCACTAAAAAATTGCCATCAAGCCCTTAACACAGGGCTAATGCTAAGCCTGTCTTCAAAACAAAACAAATAAGAAAAGGAATTTCAGTGTATCATAAAGTCAGGAGGGATAATCAAATACTTGAACTAAAAATATAAATTGAAGGCAATAAATATTTAATCCACTATCGGATTTTGTGCCAGTGTTTGTTTTTGTGGGTTATGGATTGAAGCATTTGTTTGCAGGCCCTGGTTTGGAAGTTCCTAATCTTTCATTTGTGTTCAGTGGACAGAGTTTTCTGAAGCTGTTGTGCTGTGTAGTATTTATGTGCAAGTCTAAGCACCTGCTTTTAAAGCCCTACTGCCTCACGTTGATGTTAACAAATGCCAGATCCAGCAAATTGTTTTATTTGCATTGCCTGCCTGCTGTCTTGTTTAACCTCTCTTAAGAAAGGAGCTACTTAACAGAAATTCCAGAAAAATAAAATGTTTAAATGAATAATAAGATTACCACCCCAAAACAGGGCCTGGATGTATGAGCCAAGCTGGAAGGAAGACCCAGATGGGATGAAAGGAGGGCAAGAAGAGAGTGGAGATTTTCCCTTTGCCATGCTCTGGAAAAGTCATTGTAACTTAAGTAAAAATTATAATGCTGGTGAGGGTAGCAATACTCAGAATGGGATACATTTTCCCTTCTGCAGTTTAATGAAAATATTTGAGAGTAGTCACATTGACAATAGTTTTGGCCCTTTTTGATGATTATTTATATCTAATATTTATAAATTTGTACAAAGTTCCATGTTTATCTGTTGATTTCACTCAACATGATAGTCTCATTCATATCAAGGCTGCAGAGAAGAAAAATCTCATTGACTTCAATTCTTAGAATCATAAGATGTTAGACCTTGGACATGGTCTAGTTGAAGCCCCACACTTAAGTGGTATAAACTGAGACTTTGATAGGTTAAGTGATTTGGTCAAAGGCACAGAATTGGATCTAGAATTCAGCTTCTAGACCCTGAACTAAGTATCCTTTCTATTGCAGCCTCTCCCACTTTGTTTTGGACCTGTTTTCCCCCATGGAATGTGATTTGAAACTTAACTTCATGCTCCAGCAATTGCCTATTTTGTGGATCAGAGATAAACAATTAACAGCATCAAGCAAAGGACATATTGTATAAACTTACAGCTTCATGGTGGCAAGAGATGGGGGCGGGGTTGCAGGAAGAGTGGGGGATATGGAGAGGATGGAACAATCTCTGCCAAATATTTGCAGGTGTTGGAACTATAATAAGGCATTGGCCTTGAGAAATATTCCAAACACAAAAATCTGTATCCATATGTGCTATTGAGATAACAAAAGACTGGATAGAATAAGCCTGTATCTACAGAACTCCAGCTTTTTGAAAACATCTGAAAACATGAAAACATTGGATGATTGATTAGCTATTTGGCATCATGCAGGTATGGCCCTCATCTCCAGGGATAGATGGAGCACAGAAATATTTTACCAAAAGATTTCGTCTGTAACTAATCAGTAATTTTTGGAGAAAGCAAGGCCAGATTTTGAATCATTCCCCTTTAATTTTTTAGGAAAAGTGGAGAAAATTCTGATTATAAATTAAGTGGAAACTTTTTTTGCTCACTTTTGGATGGAGAGTGGAAACATGAATCATTCCCAACCATGTGGTTTATTATGTTGTCTGGAACATCTTGGACTTTGGGAAGGGAGAGGGAGGTGCTGCTTGTGCTTGTGTGTGTATGTGTGTGGTGGCCGGTGGGGGTCACTTTGGTTTGGTGTCAAGCATAAAAGGATGTTAGTTCTCCACATTAAGCAGAGAGGAAGTCTGACTTCTAGGGTCACACACACTTCTTTGAGTTCATTTTCATTTAGAAAGTATTTAGGATTATCCCCTTAATCTGTTTGATTCTTCCCCCAGGAGAAAGGAGAAAGCTGACTGTCAGAACCTCTGGGGGAGATGGCTCTGAGTGTACTGCCCTGGCCCTAAGAGTAGCACAGGAGTCCTACAGGAGAAGGGGAGGGATGATAGTATACATGCCTAGGGGGTTGACTTTCTGGCCAGTAAGTGATACGGTGTTTATTTGTACTTTTTGGTTCTAGAGCTTCATCACTGGTTTTTTAAGTTTAAGTACTAACCTCCCTGATTAGGATTAGTGGTCTCTAATACTTATTTTTTCAATAAAGAATAAACAAACCATTATGTTATAGACAAACAGTCAGAATAACCGGAAGCCAGCCTGACTTCTTAACATGTACTCAAAATGGAAAAGTTGGTTTGGGATACTTAGTATAGTTTATTATCTTTATTTGTCCATTCTACCTACATGTCTGTCAGAAGGCTACCTGGGTTCAATTAATTCTTCAATTTCAAAGAATAATTGTGTTCACAACAGTTATTACAGTAGTAAGGCCCATCAGAATAAGTATTTTTTCCATTACTTCTCTTTGCACTTATTAGTCCCAATATAGATCTTAATTCATGATATGGGCAGCTTTTCTATAAAACTGCTTTGCATTTCAGAATTTTCATTGTTACATGAATTCCACCTCCTAGAAAAGGTTGATATTCTTGTATGAATAAATAATGGCTTTACAAAAAGGCCAAATATCCGGGGCTTTCTATTGGTGACATATCTCAATTTGATATTCTGAGTCCTGTATGACTCAGTTTTCATGCTGCCCATCTAAATCTCTTCTTGCTATCACTTTCAAACATGCTATCTTTATCCACTTAGACTAGCCTCCTAACTGCTAAACACACCATTCAGTACCTTTTCTGACTCAATTTGTGTCTGTGCTCTTCTCTTGACCTGCTTAGGAATCCTACCTATTCTTCAGTGCTCAGTTGAAAGCCCACAAGACCACTCCGACACACCCCAAATGTACCATACATTCTTTGAAGCCAAGTACAATGTCTTTTACTTTTTTTGTACCCTCCTTAGCACATATAGTATTTGCTCAAGAAATCAAATGAATTAAATCTTTGTAATAGATTTTCAGGAAGTATTGATCAGTGTCTACAGCTTGCTTTGGTTCTCATACAAATCTATCTTGCCATTGTGAATACCTTAGAAGTCTGAAAAAAATATCTCCTGTGACTGATAATGTTAAAATTAAAAACCAGAGGGTTAGCAAAAGTATGTTAAAAACAAGAGTGTTAGCAAAAGTATGGCATGTCCTTAATTTTAAGAGCCTATTCATTTTGATTGCTGGATTTTCCAACTGCCTAACCTTATGGTGACATCTGTATAAATCAAATGTGATTATCATAATTCTCTTTGAGAGTGATGTCTTCACATTTCCATGCCCACAGCCTGCCAAAAATATAGCTGATGAAAGCCAAGGGGAATAGAGGAATTTCCTGAAAGGAATAAACAAGCGCATTTTCTTTTTCTCATTACATTTCCACAAATTCATTTCTACAAATAATTCTTAAATGTAGTTACATTTTACATATCAGGGGTCTTGTTGTTATAAAATATTACCTGGCACTAGAGTAAGCCTTTTTTATGGGAAAGTAAAACACACACATACACACACACACACACACACACACACACACACACACACACACACACACACACACACACACTGAGACAGACCTTAAAGTTGCTAGACAAAGAGAAGAGAGATAGGAGACTTGGAAAATGTTCAAAGGAAAGCCACAACAAGAGTTAAAAGGTTGGAAAATATGATATTCTAGGGTCTTATCATAGTTGATTACTTGTCCTTCTTCCTACTCAGTCACTCTGTCATCCATCCCCATCCAGCCATTCTCACTCAGCTGCCACCTTCTCCCAGTCATTTGTCTACTCACCCACTTGACACCCACTTCTGTCTGCCAAGATAGATACCCTCTCAACTTATCTACCAATGGGCATTTGACTCTTTATGAACTGGTATGAGTATGAATATAAAAGAAAGAAAGAAATATATTTATGAGAGACTAGGTTGAGAGTATATTTGCATACATTTGTATGTGTCACTATATATGAGTATGTATTTCTGCATGGACGAGTGTCTGAGAATGACTATGTCTGTGTGTATCTACAGATGTGTGTCACTGTATGTGAGGAGGAGAGAGTGTTTCTGTCAATCTTCCGTGAGCATATCTATAGATAAGTTGGGCATGAAGGGGCCATAAGTGTAAGTAAGGCAAGCTTTCTGTGGCCACCCTAGGGAGAGTTAGGGCCTCAGGAGAAACCATCCTGGAACTAAAGAATCTCTCTAAATAAATGAGTCAGATCATACATCCTCATGGTAAAAATGTTCAGTGGAGGCCAGGGTGGGTTACCATAGGTGAGGGAACAGGAAAAGTTGCTTCTCGCTTTTCCCCCACTTAGATACTGAATCATAGTTGCTAAATGTAACAAAAGCAAAGATTTGAGCCCAGATTTGCACTCTCTAAGGGATAGTGGTGGACATATGTGTATGGCATTGG